AAACGCATAAAAAGGGAAGAATGAAAAAATGAGTTGAACGGTATAAAACATTGTTAAAAGGATGTAAGAAGTATAGAACACTATACAGTGTACATAGAAATATAAATCCACACACAGCATTCTAAATTAACCTAAGGCTTTACTAAAAGCTCTCATAACTGAAATGGTGGCAGTAATCGACATGCCAGAGGAACAGGAGAGCAGGAAGGGCAAGGGCAGGAGGGGGTGGAGGGGGGAGGAGAGGGAGGAGATTTTTGCCAGAAAGGTGGTTAAACAATGCATCGTCATTACCGTCAAGTAAGCGTCAGAACTTCGACGCATGACTCTGGTTGTGGGAGACTCGAGATGCAACCGTCGCTCGAGCACAAAAATCCGAGGCCGTCCAGTGCAAGGCAAAAGCACGAGAGCTGACCGCGCTAGACCCCGTTGAGGTTAACTGCAGCTGCCCGAATCGAGGACGTGCGCTTCTCAGGCTGGCAAACTGCTTAAAATGGTACCTTGAATGCGAGCTCTTGCGACTGAACAACCACCAGCATGCCGACACCTGACCAATTAGCCATCTTACTGGCCCTGGCTTCGGTAGCGAGCACATTCACTAAATAATCGTCGGCCGTCATCTCTTCCGGATAATTTTTCACCTTCCTCCACCAGTACGTATCAGAAATCAGCTCCCACTCCAAGTCTGTTGCTGTTGGCTGCAGTAACGACTTCTCCTTCATTTTCGTCAACCACCACCGCCGCAACGCCGCTAACCAAGACTGCATCGACTCCCATTTCATCTTCCTAAACTCTGACAGCTCCTCCTCAAACTCTTCACGCAGCTGATCCATTATGCTCCCTCTTTTTTCCGGAGTTTCTCCCTCCTGTTTCGCAGTTTCCTCCCCCTGTCCTACCGTTTCCTCCTCTTGCTTCGACGTTTCATCCTTTTGTTCCGGCCTTTCTCTTTTCTGCTTCGGCATACTCCTCGACGGTGGCAAAATATATGGGGGTGTTTGCCCCACCCGT